TTTTTTCTTTTGCATTGGTAATAACCATATTTAAAAAAAGGTAAGGTATTTGAAAACCTTCGGCGGTCAGAAATAACAAAATAACATCGAAAGCGTTAGCGTTTTTCAAAGCATTTCCTTTAGGCGAATGGCCCCTGTTGGCGAACGTGCGCGCGATGCGATGCGTGCGATAAAACGCGGGGCAGTAGGGTAGTTCTTCAAGGACCCTTTTTTGTCGGTCACTCGCTTGTTATTCACAACCTATTGTAAATATAGCTTTAGAATTAATACCAAATTATTCTTTATATCTGTATAAAATTATTTAAAAAAAAATGTGATATTTATTATACTCGCATTAGATTATAGAATAAATAAATAAAAATATTTCCAACACTCACACCAATTAGCCTAGCCCCAAAGTAAGAACTGTAAGGCTTGTGTTATGGGATACTAGGGTAACGGATAGAATACATACCAATACTGTACTTATATAAGTATATTTATATTGAAACACTTAATAAACATCCATGACTGTATAAGTTTGTAATAATTTTATTTTTTCTGGAAACTCAGTATGAAATTGCGCCACGAAAGTTGCGCAGAACGCTTTTCAGATAATTACCCAGTAGCGAGCTCGGGCGACTCTCGCAGCTTGTGTGTGGCTCATAGGACCAGAACGCTCGGTTTTGGCCGATACTACACAAAATGTATGAAGAAACTCATCCGCAGCTTGTTGTCGAGCTTAGTAGTGGCAGCGACTAGTGGCATAATGTGCTTGTGCGCAGACGAGCGCGGAAAGATTCAGTTACGGCCGTACTCAGCAGGGCTTGAAACCGAACGAAACCTTTACTAAAAACCGGTATTAACCTTTATTTACCGGTATTTATGAAACCGGAGCGCGTCCGAAATGAAAGCGGTACCTAAAACCTTAATAAACCGGTTTAATCCAGAGCGACACGTGCACGCGTCGGCATCGCTTGAAGTTTGTTTTGTTTGAATTAATCAAGTCACAACCTGTTAATGCTCAGAGATTGATGCATTTATTGACACGTTTGCTAGCGTTTAGTGAGTCAAATTATTCATTTTGTAGTTGTATATTTATTTCAGCCGTCAGTAAGAGCGAAATGAAACCCTTTAAAAACCGCTAATTTGATGCAAAGCCTATTTGATTTCGCTTTTTAGGAAAACCGATTTTTTAAGGTTAAGGTAGAGCTAAACCTAAATAAAACGCTCCTAATGTACTTGATACTGAATTAGATTTGAAAATTAACCGGTAAACAAGCCCTGGTACTCAGAGAAGACATTAACATTTTGAGTTTGGCTTTTTATGTTCAAGGGGTGGCGAACTAGCATATGGCCCGCCTTATGGTTGTGGCGGATGTATTTTGTTACTTAAATTAAAATTATTAGTCTATGTTTTCCAAAAAATGATTTTTTAGTCTATGTGATTCAACCAAGTTATTCTGTGGTTTTTTGTTCTAAAGATAATACGCAATTACTTCTAAGCTGTTAAAACTGTGTTGTGCTATTTTACAAGTTTTTTACATGCAAGACAAACTTAATTCAGCTACGCAACAGTGTTTTTATTTACCATAGTCCTCGCTTCATTGAACGAACTGAAAATAGTGGATTGGTCCCGATCCACAACATGGTAAATGGCCACCATAATCTATAGACGCTTGCAATACCAAAAATATCACTGGCACCGTTGCCTCTACGGAGTGGAACCCGGAACCTTACACACCTTATGCTACCAGAAGGTAGTGTTATTTTATTGCGGTCTTCTGTACGGAGGATGGAGGTCACTTCCCCAGACGGGCGCTCCAATGGACAAGAAATCTGCAAAATTTGGCCACTAGGGCTAGGCTTTCGCTGTAACGAGCGCCGCACGTTGGTGGCGGCGCTCGGCGGTGGAGCGCTCTCATTGCCAAGTATGGTTCGAGCCATGCTTGGCAATGAGAGAGCATGGAAGGCTGCCGCCTCCTTCTGCGAGGTTGTGATGGGGCAGAAGGAGGCAGCGGAGAGGGAGCGGGAGGAGGACGCTCTGGCCGCTCCCCTCCGGCGTAGACGGGTGGGCCGAAGAAGACAGGCGGCTTTGACCGCCGGTCTTCGTCGGCCCTAAGGTGGACTGGGCGCGGCATGCCAGCCGCGCGTCCTTGGTGCCATTCGGCATAGGCCACCCCGTCTGGGGATTACCTAGTACCCTAGAGTAATCCCCCCATAGGCGCGTCGCCCGGTCCACTCGTTGGGCCGGGCCAGCCCTAGGACGCTCTGGTGTAGTGGCGGACGTAGGTGCACCGATCCCAGAGCGCCCTCATAAGGGCCGAGGAGGGTACCGGTGGTTTTTAGTGGGTAGGACCGGCGTTGTTCCACGCCGGGGAGTCCCACACACGTCGCGCGCCTGGCAAGCGCGCGGTATGGTGCGTAAATGCATTTTCCACCGTCAACAAAAAAAAAAAAAAAGGCTTTCGCTGTAATCGCTTGACTCAAAACTGCTATCAAATACATACCTATTAGCTTATATTAATTTTTAAGCATTTTATTAAACAAATTACAAATGCCGCGCTGTGCAGTTACAGACCATGTTGAATACATTTTCACCACTTATTTAATATTTTTAACAACAAAAAAAACGTGTTTTACAATTTGTCAGCTGCAATATTCGGCTGTGGTTTGGGTCAAGCGTTTGCAGCGCCATCTATGTTGAGCTTTGCGTATACTTCTCCATTCGAGCGGAAAGTTCGCTATGCCCTGCCTCTCTTTGAATCTTGAATTAGGGATGGGCGTTTTTAGAATAACGATGCCAGGTTTAGATGCGCGCATCCGATGCGACTGGATGCCGATGCCATCTAGTTTTTGTCAACGTTACTATAGCAACAGTGCCACAAACTTATCTGTGCCGGTAGAGATGTCGCTAGCAGTGAACAAATGTGTCATAAAAATGTCAAAATGCTATAGGTTATTTGTAGTTCAAGTTTTTGCCACAATTTTTATGTAATAATTTTTCCAGCATTCAGAACTTTTAGTAACCATACCGAAAAGTAAATAAATGACCTCGATTACAATATTACATTTTCAAGTCATGATGCATGGAATCGAAGAGACACCCACACAAAACACGCTGCTGTCGTAATTCATATTGCATAGTATTCTGTGATCCTACGATACTGACATTAATTTGGCATCGATGCGATGCCGGCATCGAAGCGCAAATATCTCACAATCATTTAATTTCACAAATATCTAAAAACGCCCATCTCTATCTTGAATGTGTCACACGTGACTTCATAAACATTAATTTTATTGCAGGTTTATGAGTACGGCTGTTAGATAAATTAACCACCAATCCAAAATATAAAATGTTAATTAATAAACTGCCGATTAAGTACATATTCATGTTTTGAACATAGACTTCTAAAATATTATTTAAATGTTTTCTATGTGTAAGTAATTCTTGCATGCAACGGAACGTTCTGAAGGTTTAGAGTTACCATATTTAAATTACTTTGTTGATTGGGTAAAACACAATAAAATCAACAAATAAAAGTTAATAAAAAATTTAACTTTTTGATTATAATTATGATAATATAAATAATATTGTTTTACCCGAACTCGAAATTATTAATAGGTGTATAAAAAAAATGGATGCGTGTTCTTTAGCATCATTAAAAATATTTTTTAATTGCATGCAAATAATTAATAATTACAATAAAATAATAAAAGGACTGGGAAAGGATAGTTAACACGGTCAATTAAGTTCAGTTTTAATTTGAAAAATTAAATAAATATTCAAAATATTCAATTAAAATCACTACTGAATTTAAGTTATTAGTCCATATGTAATTAGCACTTGTAAGTAACTAAAACACGTTGTGTCTATATAGAAACTAGAAACATGTGGATAAATATTATAAATATGAAAACAGTGATCAGAGGCGACGAGCGTGCCAACATTGTTTTTGACAACGTGATCATCTTATGGAGCTCCGTGGATCGTTCAAAGTACCTTTCGAACCTTTCTTTTTGTCTAATAACCACTAACCACTTAGTGGTTAATAATCCACCATTATTAGACACTAACATTCATAACGCGCCCGCGGCCAACTTCTTGGTATTACTATTGTGTTACAGTGATGCGCGCGCATCTTAAAATTTCACTCTCATCATTTTTTCATAACGCGCTCGCGGCTAACTTCATTAAGTTACTTTTGTGTTACAGTGATGCGCGCGCATCTTAAAATTTCACTCTCATAATTTTTTCATAACGCGGCTAAAGAAGTATAACTTCAAAAATGTATCCTACCAGTAGTGTTAAATCTTATTTTATCAACAGGCATGTATTACCATCTGTCGATGGTTGATCTGTCTACTTTCGTAGTTGAAATTTGGGGAATTTGCATTATAAGGTTATGTACTTCGGCAAATTTCTTGAGTAATGACCATATACAAGGAAACCTGAGCAGTAGCAATTTTTATATAGGTACAAAAACGCAAGACCACGACTGTCAGTTGATTCGTAGCGTCTTGTGTATGGTTTTTATACTTAGTTTATTTTCAATAACTTCGTTCCAACCAAGTGTTCCTCCGTCCTCGGCACTCTCGTTTACATGTTCTTGTCTAGACAGGACTATATTATTGTTTTTATTATTTTCCAGGTGAAGTTATTTATTTATTTTTATTTATTTAATAATCGCTTACATCTATCATTACAGGTATAAACTTATACAATAGAGCAGTTACAACAATTATTAAACAAAACTAAAAAATAAAAAAGCGCAAACACGACAACAAAAATAAAATGATTAATCTAAATGATAAATAAAAAGGAAAATAAATGATAAAAGTTATAAAATGATTAATCTAATATTAAAAGTATCTTAATTATCAAAAAATTACATAACAGACATTCATTTTGGTTAATGTTTAATATTTTACCCCAAACTTCCTTCATTTGTCATAACTTAAAGATGATTTTGATTATGTTCTGGTAACTTTCTTTCTGACGTTTGTCTTGACTGTCAAATTAACTGTCAGTGTCAAAAAAATATACGTCGAAATTATACCTAGGAAGCAGCCCTTCTGATACAAAAAAGCAATTTTATTGCGTGGTAAAAAGTTATTCAAAATGACTGCCGTGGTCAGGGCTGGGCATTTGGCTCCATATTTTAAAGCATCGGCTCCAGTAGTATCAAATGGGCTCAAAATTGTTGCGGCTGTTCCAACACCCGTCGACAAATTGGTAGTCAAACCTTTAGAAAACACATCGACCGTTCAATCTTTGCACGGTGCTTTGCCTGTTCAGGGGCTAAAGCCTAAATGCAGCACTCGTGGTAAGTTTTTGACATAAACACGGTGTATTTACATGTGTGCTGATGGTGATTTTGCAATGTTACATAACACTTTTCATTTCAGCACCTTTCCAAGTGCGCTTCGCTCACACCGATGTTGCAGTGCCCGACTTCACAGCATACCGTCGCAAGGACAACCAGAATCCAAGGGTGAAGGCTGAAGAAAGTGTCAATGAACGTAACTCCTTCACATATCTTATTGCTGGTGGTTAGTATCTGATTTTTATTAATGTAACTTCAAATATGAGCTATTCACTTAAGCCTTAATCACAAAAACTTTGATTTTATGTGTATGAATACAAACTTCTTAAATTTTTATAATTTTTTCACTGAAGTATAGTTTTGTTGTTATCAAGTTTAGATCAGAAATTGTATGATGTTTCATTCTAACGTTTTAATATGGGACCAACATCTGTAGAAAGTGTAGCTTGTTATTGAATTTCATTAGCTTAATTTTAGTTTTTGATTTGTTTTGAAACCAACATACCTTATTATTCATAGTGCAACAGAAATCACACATAGATTTTTGACAATTCAGTTTCAAACTAGTTTCAGTATCTACTTAAAAGTTCTAATAGTCAAAATACTTATAATATTTTTCTTGTAATCCATCACAGATTAATTGATTTCAAAACATATCACATGCAATTATGACATGTTGTGACACATTCTCTTGTGCAAAGCTGCCTTCAAATCTGTAATCTATTTCCATAAAAAAACAATCCTAAGAAAATACATTTGTTTCCTTCATATTCTTAAAAGTAGGAGGTCATTGACATTTACACTTCCCCAGTCGATCCTCTCCTCTGGATGTAATACATTCTTTTGTCTTTACATGAATAATATCAGCTAGAGCGCCATACATGCATGTTGTGATGGCAAAGATATTTATTTTATTATTACCTACTTATTGAAACATTATTTATTCACCGAAGTACAAGCTGTTGGGTATTTGCTAATAGTATCTAAACAAATTTTTATATCATTTTCAGCGGGCAGCATGGCAGGAGCATATGCGGCCAAGTCGATTGTTACACAGTTTGTCTCTTCTATGTCTGCCGCTGCTGATGTTTTAGCCTTGGCTAAGATTGAAGTCAACCTGGCTGAGATTCCAGAGGGCAAGTCGGTCACCTTCAAGTGGAGAGGCAAACCGCTGTTCATTAGACACAGGTAATAAATCTTATTTTCAATAGGGATGATAACTAACTTTTATTTCTTAGTCTATCGGGTAGGTTATGAAAAAACATGAACAAAACATTATGAATACAAGCATTTGTACTCCGGTCCAGTGGATGTATAATATGTATTTCTATATAAATATACTTATATATGTATTATATCCGTTACCATAGTATCCGATAACACAAGCCTACAGTGGTTACTTTGGGGTTAGGCTAATTGGTTGGCATGTTGGAAATATATATTTATTTATTTACTACAGGTATAACTTGATTTGAAATTTTGCATGGTGTCACATTTTGATTTAAAGTGACTTCATTAGCCCTCATTCCCAAAATTTTTTAAGAGGTTTATGTAATTCATTTTTGGTTTATTGACATTAGAAATAATAATTTTCAATTAGTTTTTGATACTACTAACGATACTAAATAGAATTTAATTTCATCCATCCCATCATCACTCCGTCATCACCCCTATTACAACGGCTGACATGTGTGTATAATGGAGTTGGTGCAACTGACCAATAAACTGGTTGGTCTATAGCTCTTGTTGCTGTCAAAGTAGGTGATTAGTATTCCAACTAGGCAGCCCAGCTAACTGTTCATGCGTTTTGGGTTACTAATAGTTAACCACTCAAAAAACACAATGAAATTTGATACCTGTCATCATACGTCATCGATTAACGAAATGGCGGCTCAATCAAAATGGCTTCGGCGCGACAAAAAAAAATATATTACGCTGTAGCCAAACCATTAATATCAACAATAGGCTTGATCCTGGCATAATTAATTAAGTTTATAAACACTGTATCTTTATAATGCTCTGTACAGAATAAATCCTGAAGGTGCTTTCGGCTGCAATCGTTGAAGTAAAGCAAAATTTTCAGTGGTCGATTATTGGATGTGAGACCAAACATTCACTATTACGAGCTCCTCCGTGCTTCGGTACCAACATACCGGCTGCATCTGCAGTCCGTAGCACCCACCAATCAGCACTAGGCCTGCGTGGTGTGTTATAGCCCAATCTCTCCATTCTATATGCATAGGGCAGAGCTGTGCCCCAGCAGTGGGGACATTAATAGGCTGATGGTGTTATTTTTAACAGGAGCAAATTTTTAATTCCACTGCAGAATATCTAATAGAAACCGAGAATAATAATAATAAGGGATATGTTCCTAGGTGGCAAAAAAAATATCGTCAGGCTTAGGCAAAGGTTTAATTAAATTGTCATTTTTTCTTGTTTGTCAGTTTTCAAAAGCTCCTTTAATAGGGGTGATGACGGGGTACAGTAAACGAAATTCTATTTAGTCCGTCAGTTAGATGATCAAAAAATAATGGACACGTATTTTTTTTTTGGGCAATCAATCAAAAAATTGACAAAGTTATAGCGCGTCTAAGTTTGGGAGTAGGGGCTCGAGCTCGAGACGTCACTTTTGAGTGAATTTTCACTTATAAGTGTACTAAACGTGACGTCATGCAACTTTTCAAATCAATATATCTCTGCAATGTTTATATTATATGAAAAATGAAAAAATACGTGTCCAATACTTTTTGAAAATCTACCTGATAAACGAAGATTAAAAATTAGTCATCATCCCTATTCAGACTGATATACCGCAGTGGGGTTAGCAGTTTGCTCCTTTAAAATACTGGAGCTATTTATCCGCTCACTTACATGCATGCGTTAGGTGGACTCCTGTTTGACGGCAGGCCGAAAGACGAGTCGGTATCGATTCCTTTCCGAATAGGGGTGATGACGGGGTACAGTAAACGAAATTCTTTTTAGTCCGTCAGTTAGATGATCAAAAAATAATGGACACGTATTTTTCCTTTGGGCAATCAACCAGAAAATGACAAAGTTATAGGGGCTCGTAACGTCACTTTTGAGTGAAAATTGTACTTGTTTAATTGTAAGACGTGACGTCATCCGAATTTTCAAATCAATATATCTCTGCAATGTTTATAATATGTGAAAAAAGAAAAAATACGTGTCCAATACTTTTCGATAATCTACCTGATAAACGAAGAAAAAAAAAATTAGTCGTCATCCGTCATCAAAAAATATTATCATGTGTGCTAATGACGCTAATCCGGAATCTAGTGGAGTTTCTCGGTAACGCGAGGTCTCTGCAGAAATAATTAAAACTATTGTTCTAAAGAAAATATAACTAGAAAAAAAATGGGTGCGTGTACTTATGTAGGCGCGTGAGAAGTTATCCTTCTTTGGCATCGTTTAAAATTAGTTTTTAATTGCATGCAAATAATTAATTACAATAAATTAATAAAAAGTCTGGAAAAGGACGAAGTCAATAAAGTTCAGTTTTAATTTGAAAAAATAAATAAATAATCAAAATATTCAATTAAAATCGCTACTGAATATAATTTATTAGAACATATGTGATTTGCACTTGTATGAAACTCAAACAACAAAAAACTCCGAATATACAAACTAGAAACATGTGGATAAATATTATAAATGTGATATACCTACAACTGTTACTTTATAACAAAAAATAAAGATGTGGTTTTTGGTTCTACTACACCAATGGTCAAGAGATGGCGCTGTAGTCTCCTGAATCGCGCTTTGGTTCCGTTGTTCCAGATTAATAAATACTTTTTGTTACTTTATTACAAAAAATAAAGATGTGGTTTTTGGTTCTACTACACCAATGGTCAAGAGATGGCGCTGTAGTCTCCTGAATCGCGCTTTGGTTCCGTTGTTCCAGAATAATAAATACTTTTGATAGGCCTTCAGAATGCAGTCGTTAGCACCCACTAAATAGAGATTCTATTTCTATTTTGTTTGTAGATTTTCTTAATGTGCGGTAAACACAAAAGTAACGCATGAAGTTGGTCGGTAAAGCGACCAACTTCATTATGTTAAACATTTGTGTTACAGTGATGCGCGCGCATCTTAAAATTTCACTCTCATCATTTTTTCATAACGCGCCTAAAGAAGTATAACTTCAAAAATCCACGCGGACCAGGCAGCCGACGGGACTCAAACCAGCACCCTTCGCAATCCGGGCGAATGCACTGACCAATTATGCTACCGCAGCCCTGTGGGCCGTGTCGAAATTCTTCTAGCCATTCTTAAACTGCAAAACAGCGACATTTATTTATATTTTCTTTAGATTTAAACATTAAGCATTAACTAAAACTATTGTTATTATAATATTTTTATTTTTTAAGCATTTAACTGCTAGATGTTTAAATCTAAAGAAAATTTTGTTCGAGGAAAAAATCCACTCAGACCAGGCAGCAGACGGGACTCGAATCCGCACCCTTCGCCATCCAGGCGAATGCACTGACCATTATGGTAGCACAAATACCAGTGCCGCGGCAGCATAATGCTCAGTGAATTCGCCCGGATAGCTAAGGGTGCGGGTTCAAGTCCTGTCTACTCCGCGTGGATTTTTTGTAACAAGCTTTTGAAAACTGACAAACAAGAAAAAGTCTCAATTTAATTAAACCTTTGCCTAAGCCTGACAATATTTATGTTTTGATTTTTTTTAAGAATTTAACTGCTAGATGTTTAAACCTAAACAAAAGTTTTACTAGAAAAATCCACGCGGTCCAGGCAGCGGACGGGACTCGAACCCGCACCCTTCGCCATTCAGGCGAATGCACTGACCATTATGGTAGCACAAATACCAGTGCCGCGGCAGCATAATGGTCAGTGAATTCGCCCGGATAGCGAAGGGTGCGGATTCGAGTCCTGTCCACTCCGCGTGGATTTTTTCTAACAAAATTTTCGTTAGTTTTAAACTATTGTAATTGTCAATGAACAGGACGCCCGAAGAGATCGCCACCGAGAGGGCCGTGCCCCTAGAGTCTTTGCGCGACCCTCAGTCAGACGACCAACGCACCCAGGACCCCAAGTGGCTCGTCATCATCGGCGTCTGCACCCATTTGGGTTGCGTGCCAGTCGCCAACTCCGGAGACTTCGGCGGGTACTACTGTCCCTGCCACGGGTCCCATTACGATGCCTCCGGAAGAATCCGCAAAGGACCCGCCCCACTCAACTTGGAAGTGCCCCCGCATGCTTACGACGGCAGCCTTCTCATCGTAGGCTAAGCGTACTGTAGCAAATCTATTTATTAAGCGTCATAGTGATCATTAAATAAATGCGATTCGATATTGTTTTTTATTCATTTGTTCCTATATAATTTTGTCGTCAATTCGAAGTCGGTCTTTCGCATCGTAAGGTAAGCGCCTGTAGCAAATCTGTTAATAAAGCACTAAAATAAATGTACACCTCAAAGTGGTCATTGAATAAATGCAATCTGATTTTATCAGTTTTTAAATCATTCCTTCCTCTCTGAAAGTGTAGAACCTTTTTTTTCTAATTGGCATAGCACGGTTTGTGCATTTAGCCAATGTCAAGTGTTAAAATGTTTACAAATACTATAGCACTCGTGGTCAAAGTAATAAATCACGTCAAAGTAAGCGGCAGACAAGTCAATTCCCCTTTCCCTATGTTTCAGTAAAAGTGTGGGGATTTAGTGGAACCTTCCCGTGGACTTCTTGAGGGAACGTCGAAAGACACTTTCCGCTATTTTGTTTCACTTGTTAACACTTGTGCGTGCTCCCGAACACTTAGTGGTTAATAATCCACCATTATTAGACACTAACATCCGCCACAACACAATTTTTAACAATAAAAACAAAACTGCTAAAATGACACTTCCCGATCCCGCCAAAAAGTCTTTAGAACCTTTATTCGGTTCCTTCTGTCGGGTTTGACGTTTGGAGTCCGCTTCTGCATACGACCATTTATGGTTTTGACCACTATTTTCAGTCATGCAAATATTCAAAAAAAAGTATAGGTATTCATAACAAATATTTACGATGTATAACATCTTTCCTCTCGCTTTCCTGCAATTTGTGGGAGTGATTTCGTGAAATGGGGCGGTAGTCTGTAACAGTAAGTCGCGAAAGCGCGTGCAATTTGATTTGATTTTAGAACATATGGTCAAATGGCTTATTCCTTTTGTAGTAGGTTTTTTTTCTTTTTTTACTCATATAAGTTGAGGTTTCAAATGTTACACATCATACGCGATATTTTTATTATAACAATCTCTAAGGGTTATGTTACTGATGTCATAGTAATTGACACTGAAGTTCGGACGGTGGGTCTAATAGGCGAAAGTTAACCGTCATAACCTAGCGAGGCAGCTCGGCGGGTAACGAGGTGGGCGAGCACTATCGGCGGCGGTTGCTTTTTTTTTCTTTTTTTTTTTATAGTTAGGTCCGACAAATGACTCCACCCCACGTGATGTTAAGTGAAGGTGAAGTCCAGACGCGAAGATAGCTGATACAGCAGTTCTACCTGCCACACCAGCCATCCTCACCCTGCCGGCCTGCATGTTGCTTCTTCACGCCTCTTTTAAAGGATCCCAGGTTGTAAGAGGGAGGGAACACGTGAGCGGGCAGAGCATTCCATTTACGGATAGTGCGACAAAGAAATGAGTCACCAAATTTCTTTGTACGCGTTGGAATTGTGGCCACAGTAAGACGGTGACAACGTAGGCCAGCGCGCGTGGTCCTCTGAAGGAAAGGGGAAGGTGGGATAAGAGAGAATAACTCCTCAGAACACTCGCCGTGGTACAAACGATAGAACGCGCTTAGTGACGCCACGTCACGGCGTAATTGAAGAGGCTCAAGGTGTTTAGTCACCTCCTCATCGCCTATGATGCGGATTGCGCGCCGCTGTAACCTATCCAAAGCATCGAGCAAGTACTTGGCGGAGCCATCCCAGAGGTGCGAGCAATATTTCACGTAGGACCGCACTTGCGTTTTGTACAACAAGCACAGTTGATCGGGCGTGAAAAAACGCCGCACCTTGTTCAGGACTCCGAGTTTGCGTGAAGCTGTTTTGATCACGGTTTCGATGTAGTCCTTTGGATTCAGGTCTGAGCGAACTTCCATACCGAGCATGGAAATGTTGCTCTGCAGCGGTAGTGTTGTGCCCTGAAGAGATGGAAGGGGAAGGAATGGCGATGTTTTTGCCGTGAAAGCGCAAGCCTGAGTTTTCTTGGCATTGAACCCAACCAAGTTCCTGGTACCCCATTCGGAAATGTGGTCCAAAGCCTGATTGAGTTCAATGACAAGATTTTCCCGTTTCTCCCCGGTTACTGCCTGCCCAGCCGCTGCTTGTCCCAGATACCCCGCATGCACTGTACTATCGTCTGCATAGCAATGAATATTCCCAAGAGGAATCAAGTCATTGATATGCAGCAGAAAGAGAGTGGGGGATAGGACGGAGCCCTGGGGAACGCCGGCATTCACTGACATGAACCGCGAACTGCTACCATCCGTAAGGACACGAATTCTACGCTCATGCAGGAAGTCAGCTACCCAAGAACAGAACTGGGCTGGCAGACCGTATGCCGGAAGCTTGGAGAGAAGGCTTTTGTGCCAGACCCTGTCGAACGCCTTGGCAATGTCAAGGCTGATAGCCAACGACTCGCCACGCTTGTCGATAGCCTCACCCCAGATATGAGTTAAGTACGCTAGAAGATCACCCGTCGATCGTTTCGGTCTAAATCCATATTGACGATCATTAATCAGGGAGTGATCCTCTAGGTAGCGGGTCAGATGGTTATTAAGGACCTTTTCTAGAATAAAACTAGTTTTTACGGGTTAATGCACGAAACTTTATTTATTTATTGACGTTTCGCAGCCTTTTCAGGTCTGCATCGTCAGAATAATGATTTTATTTAAAATTGTCGAGCTACCCTTCGAAAGAATTATATTGTGCGTTCGGTTATTTCATTGGAAGATTTTTAAAATTTTATTGTCTATGTATGAATTTATTATTTAATTTACTTAATAAAGTATTTTATTTAAAATTCTTGTTTGTAATTTTGAGTTTATTTATTTGACCCTAACTACCGTAAACTATCACCGGTTCCAAATTGGGAGACCTTCCTGAGAAGAACCGGCGAAACAAACTCAAGAGAGGCTTTCTATCTCCTTCTTATGTTAAATTATGCAAACAAAAAGAACTAATAGTATCTGATGGTCTTGCAGTGTGTGCTCGGGGTTGGGATTTTATCTCCTGTATAATAGGTTCCCAAGCTGGTGGTATATACCAACCATCTTCCCTATTGAAATTTGGATATTTTTTAATCTCAATAGCCTCGCGCATCATTCGAGGAACGAACCGCCGCTCAGCTGCAAGGATCTGTGGTCTATCAAATCTAATGTAGTGGTTTGGTCCCCCTAATGCATGTTCACACACTGCAGATAGTTTCGTGCATTAACCCGTAAAAACTAGTTTTATTTAATGAGTGATGTGCGTGAAAACCTAAGAAACAAATACCTTTTCTAGAACTTTACATAAAACTGAGGTGACTGCTATTGGCCGATAGTTTGCCGGGTCTGAGCGATCCCCTTTTTTGGGCACCGGTTGCACGTTAGCATCTCTCCAAGTCTCCGGCACACGCCCCAAAGAATACAAGCGCGTGAGCACGGGAGACAACTCCGCTGCACATTTTTTAAGTACTACTGCTGGGATGCCATCAGGTCCACTAGCTTTCCGGACGTCGAGTGATTGCAATTCGGCACGAACCTGCCTGATTTTAATATCAGGCATCGTTGTGCCACAGTGAGGTAATGATGGTGGCAGTGCATTGCAATCATCGATTCGGGAGTTAGCCGCAAAGAGTTTTGCCAGTAAGTGGACTTGTTTTAAAGTTTTGTTTAATAAGTGATGGACTGGGAGCAGTGGCTATGGACCGGGAGCGTCCGCACTGGGCCCAGTGTGGATTGGTGAGACGTCATTATATATTTTAAACATAATTCTAGTCTACTACGACACTCACAGATTTTTTTATTCTATTGCAAGTATTAGGTCCGTATTACAGAATGACAATAAAGTGTTGATCTTTACTTGAGTACAGTTAGAAAGGGACATCGCTATGTGCTATATATAGCGACATCCCTTTCTAACTATGCTCAAGACTAGATCAATCACTGAGAATCTTTCTATAATACGGTCCTTAGAGTTCTATTTATTGTGCGGTCAATCTAGACATTCAAAGGTACATAAATCAAGATCGACCTGGAGGTTAATGAAGTTGTTGAAAACATAATAAAAAGTAACTAAATGGAAAATAAATACTTGAGGTCAAAGGTAAAAAAAACTGCATCAAAACGGTAATAACTTTTATCGTAAAATTACCGTAGACAAAACTAGTAGTAGGGGAACTTTGATCTATTATGTATGAAAAAGGTAGCAAATTACTTTTTTTTACCTTTTACCTCGAGTATTTTTTTCAAGTAGATACCGGAACGACGAGGAATTCAGAAATGATATTTTTAATTTATGTTTTGAACAATTTTACTAACTTTCAGCTTGATGTGAATTTATGTACCATCACTCTCATTTTTCTGTCTAATTTGACCAGACTAAACTTTCACACAGATACATCAAGAAAGTTTCGTACTTTTGCACACCGTCATAAGGGTGGTCAAAACAGAAATAGCCTATACAAAAACTAGGCTTTACGAGAAGTCTAAACCGGAAGAGGTTATAACAGCTAGAAAAATACCAATTAAGAATTGGTCCTTTAGGCGCTTTGCAGACGACGGGGCGGGGCGGGCTTTTTGTCCGCGAAACAATAAAGACCGCGTCTGCCCGTCGATGTCTGCGGCTGCCCGCGTCGCGTACACAAAGCACACGATGGGCAGAGGCAGTCAGTTCAGGACGTTCGTTCTAGTGAATAGTCCATCACTAAAAAGCGCGTGGCGCGGACTGAGCTGACCGCCCCGCGCCGCCATCTGCGTTACTGCATATAAACTGGTTTGTATGATCCACGGCGGGCAGCCGCGCACATGCCGCGCCGCCACTGCCCGCCGGGCACCCAAGGCGCGGTCTTTTTGCCCTCTGTGTGCGTAGTGTTTGTAGTATAGGATTCACTTTGTGCTATTATTCGCGGCGAAATTGACCGGCCCGCCCCGCCCCGTCGTCTGCAAAGTGCCTTAAAGTCTCACCTCAATAAGTCGTGGCACGAAACTAGCGCTGACCTAACTGACTTAATTTTTACTTATTGCGTAGAAGTAAAAATTAAGATGTGTTGGGGGGAAACGAGGTGCGCGGGTGGGCGTGCGTTGCGCCGATTGGCTCTCCAGTCCATGCGCATGCGCAGCTATCCCAGACGCGTTTTGTTCAGCGCTAGAGTTACGTGCCGCGACCTGTACTGTCCCTGGCATGAATCGCACAATGCTTCAGGGGGCGCATCATTACGATATTATTTTTAAATAATTCGTGTATAAGA